TGCAGCTGCAGAACCAGAAGTGGCCCTTTCTGAGTCCTTGTTTTCATTTCTGAACACCTTCCAGGTAAATTTGACCGTGTGTGAGTAATTCAGCAGCCCGGGCCCTAGTTAGCAGTTGTTTCATTGTGTTCTGCCTTCTCGGAGATCTGACATCTGCTCATGTGTTTCAGCCTCTTAGCCTGTCCTCTCAGCGCCGTCTGAAGCAGCTAACGGATAAGCATGTCATCTTCCATCATCTTCCAGGTGATGATCTTCCAGGCGACAGCCATGGAAACAGAAGGAGGTGGCTGGTCGAAGCAGGAGGTGAGACTAAGGTTTTATCAAGTCTACACTGAAACACTGAGAGGAAGAACTATGGTGCCATCTGCTGGCGAGCCACTGTTATTGAAACGGAAACAGACGAGCAGCCAATGGGATCGCTCTGTGAGGGAGTACCGGGCTGGTCTGACACTGTGAACAAATGAATGTTAAATTATTTAAATGTTATATTCTTCACGCAGGGAAGTGAGGCTATGATGCTGCCTCGAAACTCATTCGCTATCACGAGCCAACAGAAGACCCGCCCACTTCACCACACCTGACCCTGACAGAAGGTGTGACCGCAGGCAAAAGACACTCCTACAGCCCAGCAGGCCATGCCCCACTGCCCGTGAGCTGCTTCCAGGTAATTGAATTCCTCTCGATTAGACTGTCCAGGAGAAGGAGACTGCGTGCTGTCCACCAGAGCAGGACTGCAGGTGTTCACTAACGATTATCCAGCTACTATCAGACTACTTTTTCTTAAATCCCTGAGGACATTATGTGCTTACAGTCGCTCCAAGACAATAAGAACAGAGTGAACCTATTAAATAATACAACATTTACAAAGTTCGCTCTGATATGGAATCGCACAGAGATGTCCATGAACAGAAATGACTTCCTGTGTCGTTCAGTGGTGCATTGTGGGTAATCTCAGTCTCTGACTAAGTGAGCTCCTGTGACTGGCCAGCACGTCGTGGTGTGGGTGGGAGGTGTTGTCCTTATCCTGGACAACATCCACCTCTCCAGCTTAACAGAGTTCAGCTCTGTCCGTTACTGGCCATCCCAGCATGCAACAGCACAGAGGATGGCCCTGGCCACAACAGTAAGACTGAATTTGTTGTTGTGCACACCGGCTGTGACGTTGTCACATCCTCGTAACCGTTGGTACACTGCTTGATGGAGCACCGGCGGTCTTCTCCTGAACAGTAATGTGAAATGGAGCGGCTCTGCCTGAGCAGGTGATTTAAAGACCGACAGGATGTACTCTCAGCTTGTTGTTGATGCTGGATACTGTTCAAGCTGTCAGTGTTTACAGTGTTTAGACCACCCTGTAACAGCCTTCATGTGGCCCTGACTCGGTCACGTGCAGCAGCAGCAGGCCTGTGTCTGCCTGTCCTCACACACTGTCCTTCAGTACCTCAGAGGGACAGTCCACACCAGCCTCTCAAACCTAGTTTTTATACCATCATCAGCTGACTGTTTCTTAAACGGTAGAAGAAGACGTGTTTTTTCCTACTCTTGTCTCATACGTGACGACATGTGTGCTTGGAGTACTTCTTCTTGACTTCGTGTTGATGCATTGAACTTCTCTGAGCTTAATTCAGTGCAGAATAAGAGCTGAGCTGTAGTCTGTACAGCAGAAGCAGTCTCTGCCTTCAACTCCTCAGCATCTCTGGTGTGTGCTGTAGAGGCGTGCACTGCTCGTCCTCGTGCTGAAGCTGTGTCGTCTGCAGACGCTGTCGTGGTCATTGATGTTACAGTCACAAAGAGCCGGGTTAGGTGGTAATAACGACCCCACGCTGGTGTTTTTAGACGAGTTGGGGTGTGTGTGTGTGTGTGTGAGCTGAGGACAAACTGATGTGTGTAATGCTGCTGTATCAGCCTCTGCAGCAGTAACAGCCTGCAGCTGGAAACATCTGCATTTCGCAGCGTCGTTCAGACCTTTATTTACGTCACCGTCAGGAAAGACGCTCTCACTGAGCTCTGTCACTTCCTGCCTTTGTTTCCTGTATGTGGTCTGCAGTTATGAAAGGAGCGACTGAGTGGAGCTTAATCACAGATTAACTCTGGATCAGCTGAAGTTCAGAGCCGCCCAGGAAAACTCAGTAACGATGATGATGTGTGATCCTCCTGAGCTACAGCCAAGAGGTGCATGTACGTGATTGAGGAAGGATGTGTGGATACAAGTGACGGTGTGGAGGCAGAGACCTTTAATGCTGCCTTTTTTTTTTCATGTTTTCAGGTTGTGGGCACCTACAACTTCACAGCCAGATCCAAACACAAAGTTTCCTTCTGGGCCAGAGAACCCGTTCATGTCCTGGAGCCTCACAACAAACGAGGGAGCCCCGAGTGGAGCCTGATGGAGGTCAGAGGAGGTCAGAGAGGCTACATGCCCTCCAACAACCTGGCAATCATGCCCGTGGGAGCGGGGCTGCCCTCGGGCACTGGCTTCTTCATTTAGGGGATGGAAACTGCAGCTGGTGCAAATGAGAGGATGCATGGAAGAGCCTCCCGGGATCGGTTGCTTACAGTCTCAGTGTTAATCCTTCCACTGTAACCTGTTTACGACTGGAAGTGTAAAGTTTCTTCTTGTGATGTTTCCTTCCTACTGGTCTGCAGTGATCTGTGCACAAACATAAATGCATAATATTCCAAGAACACTTTTCAAAGATGGCATCTGTAACGTCATGAAGCTCTGAACGTGTAGATGATGTTTGATTAGCGGTTTTAAGATGAAGGACGATTTTCATGGCTGCTGTATGATGAAGCGCTCATTTCCCATGATCCTCAGAGGCATGCTGCATGTTCTCATTACAGGGTCTGAGTGCTATCAAGTTAACTGTAACGTGTGTGTGTGTGTGTGTGTGTGTGTGTGTGTGTGTGTGTGTCCTCACCTGGAGCAGAGCTGACAGGTACATGGCGCTCTCATCATCTCAGACTGTGTAATGTGATGTAAATGTGAAAGGTCTCCGGGGCCGAGGAAGAACAAGACTCAGCAGGAGGAGGAGGAGGAACAGGGAGAGGGGTGAAGGAGAACACCAGTTTCCCGCTCTGCCTATGAGCTGATTTAAATTTCGTTGCACTTTGATTCCCGAATTTTATGTAGGAAGAGTGAAATGGGTCAGTCAGAACAGAATAAGGTCCTCTTGCAGTCACATTCACCCGACGATGCTTGTTGCTATGGATACAGCTCAGGCAGTGCAGGTCATGTCTGTGGAGTTTGCTCGGCTGCAGCAGCATTTCTTGATTCCAGCACTTTAAACATTTTTGGCTCAGAATCATTTGAAAGCATCTCTGAGCGCGTGCTGATTGGCTCTCAGGACATAAAATGAACCTGAGCTCCAGTAGTTTTGCAGATGACAGCAGTTTTAACCTTTGAGCACCACATACTCTGTCCTGGCCTCCTTCTGTGAAGTTGAGCAGCCTCAGCTGCTGTGAGCATGGAGCAGAGGGAGGGAGGCCGGGAGTCTGAGCTGCTCAGCTGTTCCCATCAGGCTGAATGTCAGGAGGAGGAGGAGGAGGAGGAGGAGGAGGGGGATGCTTCTCTCCTAAAATACCAGATGTCCTCAGGGTTAGTCAGATGGACTCAGAAATCTTAGCCTGATAACATTTACCTGATTTCCCCTCCTCGAAGGCCGATTTAGGATGAGGGGAGCGGTTCATTCCTTATATGCAGCCTCAGTTATTTTGGGAAGTTGTAATCCAAACAGACATGCAGATGAAGCTGCAGCATTTCTTCTTGTGGATGAAGTAGATATTTGAACCCATACACACACGGAAACCACAGAGTGAACATTTCTGGATTTTTCTGTCTGATCAGAAAACAGGTCAACAGCTTCCTCGCATGCTGCTTGCATTTTCACCACCAGAGGGAGGCAGAGACTCGGAGCATGTTTGCATGATCAGATTAACTGTGTGTGTGTGTGTTTGGTAATCGCGGCCACAGTTTGTACTTCCTGTTTTGTTTCTGTGTGGTTTCATGAAACTGCTGCTCAGCTGGTCCTGCTGAGTCATTCTGATGTTTTCATCGATGCTGCAGGGCTGCGTGACCTCAGCCGAGCATGAAGCGCTGCCAGAGTTGTGATGTTGAACTCAGTCTTCACACAGCAGGTGGGAGATCTGAGCAGCAGCGGCAGCAGAGAACTGAGTGTGGCTTCAATAAAACTAAACTCAAACCTTTTTTGTGGCATTGCATCATTTCATAATCAGATGTTAGTCGTGAGAAGAAGCACCTGAATATTTGTGATGATTTACAAAGCTGTGAGGCTGTAGCTGCTAGCTGTCAGCTAGCTACACCTGAACTGGACCTCTGGACCTTGTTTGTGCTGTTGGAGCCTTTTGGAGCATTTTAATGACATCATGTGACCAGTAGCATGGCTGCTGTGGGGTCACTATACTAACAGACTGTGCAGGAAGGGTGATTTGGTGCAGGGGAAAATTCTAGGATTTTGATTGGATGTTACTGATTAGGTGGTGCAGGTGATACCTTAGCACACCCTCGCGGTCACTTCAGGCTGTATCCCAATTCAGGATCTGCAGCCTTAAAGTACGCAGCCTCAACGATCCTCAAGGGCCGCGTACTTAAAGACCGCTAAGGCCGGAAGTGCGAGGCTTGTGAAATGGGACGGTCTAGCCTCCGTTG